AGACAGACACAGACAGACACACACACACACACACACACACACACAGACACACACACAGAGCTGACCTGCGGTAGTCAAGTCCAATCAAATAAACCACTGCCACAAAGCCAGACCAGTAATTACGGTCGAGCGGCTGCAGCGTGTGAGTTTAAATATAGAGTGCTTCAGATCCGGATCATGATTAGAGTGGCCAGAAATCTGGTTTTAGGTGGGACAGTCCGGTTTTGAAATACCATATCTGCCTACTGGCACAGGCTTGAGCCGGACACTCATGTGTCCTTTTAAGATCGCTATTTTACACTTTGTACAATGGTGTAAAATAAATAAATAAATAAATGCCAATGTTTTGTTTAAGTTTGTACAATAGTGTACAATAAATAAATAAATGCTAATGTTTTGTTCAAGTCTGAACAAAAGTGCATAAATAAATAAATAAATAAATCCTAATGTTGTGTTCAAGTGTAAACAATAGTGTATAATAAATGCATAATTGCTAATGTTATATAATAAATAAATAAATGAGACATTGTTTTATAATATTTAATATAAATGCTAATGTTATGTTCAATTTTGAACAATAGTGTAAAATAAATAAATAAATAAATAATATAATATAATCCTGTATTGCAATAATGGGAATCTAATCATAATCATCGGTATTAACGATATTTACAACTCAATGTTGAATGTGTGAACTGAATTGTGTGTATGGTTTATGATGAAAATGCTGCTTATTTAGTCTGTTTGTTCAGTGTCAGGCATGTTGTTGGATCCGTTCAGTTCATACTAACACTATTACAGTTCAGTATTTGATTTGAAGGACATTTTATTTGCTTATGCATGATAAACAATGCTTTTCATCAGTTGGGTTCCTAAAGCAAAAGCGTTTGAGAAGCTATGATGTGTTTGGACTGAAACATCCCTCCATCAGCCGCTCGAGCCATCTGCTCTTAACAAAGAGAGAAAACATCAATATTTAACTTAGCGGTTCAATGCTGTTCGTCCTCGCGGTCTGTAATGGACAGCAGTGAGTGTGTAAGTGTTTGTCTGTGACTTAGATGGATGACGGCAGCATTAAAGCGGCACACACACACACACACACACACACACACACACACACACACACATAGCTGACCTGCGGTAGTCAAGTCCAATCAAATAAACCACTGCCACAAAGCCAGACCAGTAATTACGGTCGAGCGGCTGCAGCGTGTGAGTTTAAATATAGAGTGCTTCAGATCCGGATCATGATTAGAGTGGCCAGAAATCTGGTTTTAGGTGGGACAGTCCGGTTTTGAAATACCATATCTGCCTACTGGCACAGGCTTGAGCCGGACACTCATGTGTCCTTTTAAGATCGCTATTTTACACTTTGTACAATGGTGTAAAATAAATAAATAAATAAATGCCAATGTTTTGTTTAAGTTTGTACAATAGTGTACAATAAATAAATAAATGCTAATGTTTTGTTCAAGTC